ATTATGCAAAAATCTCTGCTAATTAAATTTCTAATGATTATTTTATTGGAAGAAATCTTGTGTTAACAAACAAAATACTTCTGGGGTTTTTTCTATCTTCTTTTTTTGCTAACCTTCTTTTAGGCGTTTGAAATTGATACTTCAGGAATATTTTTATCTTTATGTTTTATCAGCGTAAACAGATCTAGTTAATTTAATTAACGTACAAAATGCTTGTTGTCTTCAAGTGTTGATACTTAACATAATCAATGACTTAATAAATATTGAAATAGATTTCCTGGGAAAAAATCTACATAAAACATAGCATGATTCAAGGAGCTATTAATAGGAATTTTTCTTATTTAGTTAATTAAATACGTTTTATTGTAGTATTTATGAAGAGCAAATTAAAGCATGATTTTAGGGAAAAAAAGACTTTATAGAGAACTAGATAATAAACACCTTAATTGTTAGAAATGTCATAAGAAGTTCGATTTTTAATAATTTGTTTATATTTGCAACATGTTGCTAGTTTTGGCAACATTTTTGTTTGTGACTAACGCCATTGATTTTTCCTAGAAACTCTTCTTACTTTCTACTTAAGTTCTAGTTCTGTTGTTATTCTGTTCTAGTTCTGTTCTAGTTCTGTTGTAATTCTGTTCTAGTTCTGTTCTAGTTCTGTTCTAGTTCTGTTCTAGTTCTGTTCTAGTTCTGTTCTAGTTCTGTTCTAGTTCTGTTCTAGTTCTGTTCTAGTTCTGTTCTAGTTCTGTTCTAGTTCTGTTCTAGTTCTGTTCTAGTTCTGTTCTAGTTCTGTTCTAGTTCTGTTCTAGTTCTGTTCTAGTTCTGTTCTAGTTCTGTTCTAGTTCTGTTCTAGTTCTAGTTCTGTTCTAGTTCTGTTCTAGTTCTGTTCTAGTTCTGTTCTAGTTCTGTTCTAGTTCTGTTCTAGTTCTGTTCTAGTTCTGTTCTAGTTCTGTTCTAGTTCTGTTCTAGTTCTGTTCTGTTCTAGTTCTGTTCTGTTCTAGTTCTGTTCTAGTTCTGTTCTAGTTCTGTTCTAGTTCTGTTCTAGTTCTATTCTAGTTCTATTCTAGTTCTGTTCTAGTTCTGTTCTAGTTCTATTCTAGTTCTGTTCTAGTTCTGTTCTAGTTCTGTTCTAGTTCTGTTCTAGTTCTGTTCTAGTTTTGTTCTAGTTCTGTTCTAGTTCTGTTCTAGTTCTGTTCTAGTTCTGTTCTAGTTCTTTTCTAGTTCTGTTCTAGTTCTGTTCTAGTTCTGTTCTAGTTCTGTTCTAGTTCTGTTCTAGTTCTGTTCTAGTTCTGTTCTATTTCTGTTCTAGTTCTGTTCTTGTTCTGTTCTAGTTCTGTTCTAGTTCTGTTCTAGTTCTGTTCTAGTTCTGTTCTAGTTCTGTTCTAGTTCTGTTCTAGTTCTGTTCTTGTTCTGTTCTAGTTCTAGTTCTGTTCTAGTTCTGTTCTTGTTCTGTCCTAGTTCCGTTCTTGTTCTGTTCTACTTCTATTATATCATGCCCCACATCCTCCAAAATTTTGTTGACGTCATCGAAACTATAGTTGCAACAAATACATACATAACACTTAACTAAAAAAAAAACTTTGTTTATAATTTATTGTTGCTGTAAATAAACTTTATACAACATTTAAATTTTAAACCCAATAGTTCAAAAATATATATGAATGTGAGTTTGTAAACATTTGTGGTATTAATGATTGTTACTTCAGAACAATAAATATTATTTCATGATGACGAGGAGCAAGAAAATAAAAACACACTCACACACAATACAAATGTAAAAACCTCATGTGGGTTTGCCTCAAAAAAACCATCAAACCAAACCACACAAGATTTAAAATTGCAGTGTAGTGTACTGTACTCCATACAGTTGTTGATTTATTGTCAGCATCATCATCATCGCTGCTAGTGCATAAACTATATTTTCAGCAAATATTTAATACGTAAAGCAACAAAAATCATGGTGTAAAGAAAACAATGTTGATAATATGAAGTAATTGGAGAAAAACGCTATAAAAATTTAACAAAATATGAAAATTTGTTGAGACTAATTGTTGCTCAACATTGTTGCTAAGTAAGGTTGATTATATAACATTGCTAAAATTGGTTGCAGGTCCTGCTAGCTGTACCATTTCAAACAATATATTCCCTTTAACAAAAAGCGTAAACTTTTTGTCTATATGTTTCTACCAACATAATTTTTTTAAAAGCAATGTTAATGAAAGTTTTTTTTTCAAAAATGTTCCTCAACATGTTGCTAGTAGCAACGTGTAGATGCTGTTTTTTCAATTTTGGTTTAAAAATCGCTTTTATGTGATTATTTATTGCTATTTTTCATGATTTGTAGCTATTTATGTTTCCTTTACCACGAACAGTGTTAAAATTCTTGCAACCACTACCAACCTTCCTCGGTTACATGACGTTCGATGAGAGATTTAAATAATATTACTCTACTGTTCATGTGGCAGGTTTAAAGGCTGATATTTTCATTGAATTTTTGTTTTCTGACAAAATATAAATAACTTTATTTAAATGTTCATAAATAACATTTATCAATATTTGAAAGAGATTAACTATAGTTTTCCAAAAGAGATAAAATGCGAATGAAGTGAAAAAGGGCGTAAAAGGAAAAACTATTTTCTGAAACCACGGAGACGTCAGTTCTTGTTTACTTCAAGTTCTAGTACTTTTCTGTTGTAGTACCTTTCTACTTCTGTTTAAGTTCTGTTCTAGTTCTGTTCTAATTCTGTTCTAGTTCTGTTCTAGTTCTGTCCTATTTATGTTCTATTTCTGTTCTAGTTCTATTCTAGTTCTGTTCTAGTTCTGTTCTAGTTCTGTTCTAGTTCTGTTAAAGTTCTGTTCAAGTTCTGTTCTAGTTCTGTTCTAGTTCTGTTCTAGTTCTGTTCTAGTTCTGTTCTAGTTCTGTTCTAGTTCTGTTTAGTTCTGTTCTAGTTCTGTTCTAGTTCTGTTCTAGTTCTGTCCTATTTATGTTCTATTTCTGTTCTAGTTCTATTCTAGTTCTGTTCTAGTTCTGTTCTAGATCTGTTCTAGTTCTGTTCTAGTTCTGTTCTAGTTCTGTTCTAGTTCTGTTCTAGTTCTGTTCTAGTTCTGTTCTAGTTCTGTTCTAGTTCTGTTCTAGTTCTGTTCTAGTTCTGTTCTAGTTCTGTTCTAGTTCTGTTCTAGTTCTGTTCTAGTTCTGTTCTAGTTCTGTTCTAGTTCTGTTCTAGTTCTGTTCTAGTTCTGTTCTAGTTCTGTTCTAGTTCTGTTCTAGTTCTGTTCTAGTTCTGTTCTAGTTCTGTTCTAGTTCTGTTCTAGTTCTGTTCTAGTTCTGTTCTAGTTCTGTTCTAGTTCTGTTCTAGTTCTGTTCTAGTTCTGTTCTAGTTCTGTTCTAGTTCTGTTCTAGTTCTGTTCTAGTTCTGTTCTAGTTCTGTTCTAGTTCTGTTCTAGTTCTGTTCTAGTTCTGTTCTAGTTCTGTTCTAGTTCTGTTCTAGTTCTGTTCTAGTTCTGTTCTAGTTCTGTTCTAGTTCTGTTCTAGTTCTGTTCTAGTTCTGTTCTAGTTCTGTTCTAGTTCTGTTCTAGTTCTGTTCTAGTTCTGTTCTAGTTCTGTTCTAGTTCTGTTCTAGTTCTGTTCTGTTCTAGTTCTGTTCTAGTTTCTGTTCTAGTTCTGTTCTAGTTCTGTTCTAGTTCTGTTCTAGTTCTGTTCTAGTTCTGTTCTAGTTCTGTTCTAGTTCTGTTCTAGTTCTGTTCTAGTTCTGTTCTAGTTCTGTTCTAGTTCTGTTCTAGTTCTGTTCTAGTTCTGTTCTAGGTTCGGTTTCTAGTTCTGTTCTAGTTCTGTTCTAGTTCTGTTCTAGTTCTGTTCTAGTTCTGTTCTAGTTCTGTTCTAGTTCTGTTCTAGTTCTGTTCTAGTTCTGTTCTAGTTCTGTTCTAGTTCTGTTCAGTTCTGTTCTAGTTCTGTTCTAGTTCTGTTCTAGTTCTGTTCTAGTTCTGTTCTAGTTCTGTTCTAGTTCTGTTCTAGTTCTGTTCTAGTTCTGTTCTAGTTCTGTTCTAGTTCTGTTCTAGTTCTGTTCTAGTTCTGTTCTAGTTCTGTTCTAGTTCTGTTCTAGTTCTGTTCTAGTTCTGTTCTAGTTCTGTTCTAGTTCTGTTCTAGTTCTGTTCTAGTTCTGTTCTAGTTCTGTTCTAGTTCTGTTCTAGTTCTGTTCTAGTTCTGTTCTAGTTCTGTTCTAGTTTGTTCTAGTTCTGTTCTAGTTCTGTTCTAGTTCTGTTCTAGTTCTGTTCTAGTTCTGTTCTAGTTCTGTTCTAGTTCTGTTCTAGTTCTGTTCTAGTTCTGTTCTAGTTCTGTTCTAGTTCTGTTAAAGTTCTGTTCAAGTTCTGTTCTAGTTCTGTTCTAGTTCTGTTCTAGTTCTGTTCTAGTTCTGTTCTTGTGTTCTAGTTCTGTTCTAGTTCTGTTCTAGTTCTGTTCTAGTTCTGTTCTGTTCTAGTTCTGTTCTAGTTCTGTTCTAGTTCTGTTCTAGTTCTGTTCTAGTTCTGTTCTAGTTCTGTTCTAGTTCTGTTCTAGTTCTGTTCTAGTTCTGTTCTAGTTCTGTTCTAGTTCTGTTCTAGTTCTGTTCTAGTTCTGTTCTAGTTCTGTTCTAGTTCTGTTCTAGTTCTGTTCTAGTTCTGTTCTAGTTCTGTTCTAGTTCTGTTCTAGTTCTGTTCTAGTTCTGTTCTAGTTCTGTTCTAGTTCTGTTCTAGTTCTGTTCTAGTTCTGTTCTAGTTCTGTGCTAGTTCTGTTCTAGTTATGTTCTAAATCATGAAACATTTTGTACTTTGTATCCTTTAGCAACAACCTCTCATAAATTCTCATAAATATTCATCCCAAAACTATGCTGTTTATTGTGATAACATACAAAAAGGATTAAATAAATATTAGAAAAATTAAAATTTATACTATTATTTTAAGCTTTTTAAAAACTATCAAATAAATTTACAAGGATTAAAATTTTATAAAAAAAAAGACTACTTACGTTGTGAGTTGGATCTCCTTATAATATTCTCCAGGAATGTATTTTGTGGAGCAACTAAACCTCTTCTTCCGCCCGGCATTTTGTTGGATTTAGCTTTTGAACTAATTTTTACAGAATTTTAGCTAACACCGGTAATTATAAAATATATTTTTTTTGTTATATTTATTTTTTTTAATTTAGCACTAATTATTTTTATTTATTATTTTATATTACTTTTTATATTAAATTATTTTATTATTTATATTATAAGAAACATTTTTGTTGTTTACTTTTTCTTAATTTTTTTTAGCTGGGCTGTGGTTTATTTAATGCTGTGTAGGATGTTGCTTGGCATATGGCAACAATATTTTAAATTGAAATTCTTTAGCAACAACATTTGTAGCGGCAACATTGTTATCAGTCTTGTTATTTTTAAAGTCATAAGTATACATGTTGTTTTAAAACGGGTGAGACAAATATAGATAGTGGGGGGAGCTTAAGCTATAGACCACAAAGTCAACAACAATTTATAATTTACAGCATAGTTTAAGGCGTTCTTGTTGTTATTTTTATAGAAAATTTATTTATTTTTAACAATTAAAAGCTGAAAAGAGATAGAAGAAAAGAAATTTATTAGAAATCGTAACTAAGTTCTAAACTTTTTAAGTATATTTTTAAACTAATTTTTTGAATAAAGACAAGATTCTTTTTTTAGCTTAATTTCAGTTCTAGTTCAGTTCTAGTTCAGTTCTAGTTCAGTTCTAGTTCAGTTCTAGTTCAGTTCTAGTTCAGTTCTAGTTCAGTTCTAGTTCAGTTCTAGTTCAGTTCTAGTTCAGTTCTAGTTCAGTTCTAGTTCAGTTCTAGTTCAGTTCTAGTTCAGTTCTAGTTCAGTTCTAGTTCAGTTCTAGTTCAGTTCTAGTTCAGTTCTAGTTCAGTTCTAGTTCAGTTCTAGTTCAGTTCTAGTTCAGTTCTAGTTCAGTTCTAGTTCAGTTCTAGTTCAGTTCTAGTTCAGTTCTAGTTCAGTTCTAGTTCAGTTCTAGTTCAGTTCTAGTTCAGTTCTAGTTCAGTTCTAGTTCAGTTCTAGTTCAGTTCTAGTTCAGTTCTAGTTCAGTTCTAGTTCAGTTCTAGTTCAGCTCAGTTCTAGTTCAGTTCTAGTTCAGTTCTAGTTCAGTTCTAGTTCAGATCTAGTTCAGTTCTAGTTCAGTCTAGTTCAGTTCTAGGTTCAGTTCTAGTTCAGTTCTAGTTCAGTTCTAGTTCAGTTCTAGTTCAGTTCTAGTTCAGTTGTAGTTCAGTTCTAGTTCAGTTCTAGTTCAGTTCTAGTTCAGTTCTAGTTCAGTTCTAGTTTCAGTTCTAGTTCAGTTCTAGTTTCAGTTCTAGTTCAGTTCTAGTTCAGTTCTAGTTCAGTTCTAGTTCAGTTCTAGTTCAGTTCTAGTTCAGTTCTAGTTCAGTTCTAGTTCAGTTCTAGTTCAGTTCTAGTTCAGTTCTAGTTCAGTTCTAGTTCAGTTCTAGTTCAGTTCTAGTTCAGTTCTAGTTCAGTTCTAGTTCAGTTCTAGTTCAGTTCTAGTTCAGTTCTAGTTCAGTTCTAGTTCAGTTCTAGTTCAGTTCTAGTTCAGTTCTAGTTCAGTTCTAGTTCAGTTCTAGTTCAGTTTAGTTCAGTTCTAGTTCTGTTCTAGTTCAGTTCTACATACGAGACTGCACACTAGATTATAGCCGAGAATGAAGACTATTCTTTTGTCCACACTACCGACTAGTCCAAACGTTAGACCAGACTATAGTCCAGCATATAGATCAGACCATAGTACAGACTATAAAGTCCGGAGTAGACCAGAATATATACCAGACTACGCTATAATCCAGAGTAAAAATTTTTCTTTATTTTTAACTCTTTGGCCAGCATTTTTCTCCTTTCCCTTTAATAAAATTAAACCCAAAGTATTTTCGAAATTCCTTCTTGTATTCACCATTGCATTTAATTTTTTTTAACATAAAAGCTGACTTTAATTAGTTTTTCCGCCATTATGTATAAAAGTGAAGGAAGTATGTATAAAGAAAAAAATTTACAATATAATAAACCATCGACAAAGAGCAAAAGAAAAATACAAAAAAATTAAAAACATTTTAGTTTTAAAAACAATTTTAGTGTGGTCATTTGTTAAACAGTTAAAAACAAAAGCGAAAGAAAAAACGCACAGATAAAAAAGTAAAGTTCGCTTAAAAAATATTTCAACGTTTTAAAAGCATTTTTAAGGCAAACTACAGAGAAAAACATAAACAAATTGAATAAGTGGAAAAGAGTAATAAAAAAACTACTAGATTATGCAATTAAATAAGGTTTTATTAAATTGAAAAGAAACAAAAAAACGAGAGAATGAAGCATAAAAACAGCCTTAAGGTAGGCTATGCAAAATGTAGTGTGTTTACTATAAAACTTTAAGGTAAAGAAAAAATAACATAAATAAGATATTTGTTAAGAATTTTTACTACAGTTTTAACTAACAGATACATTTTACTAGAGGACTTATTGTTAAAAGATTTTCATTAAAATTAAAGAAAAAATTTTTAAGAAATTCCTTAATTAATATTTTGCTCTGTTTATCGTGGCGTATACTTGTTGCAGATTTGTAGTATGAATTAAATATTAAGTATACGTAGAATTTCACGCTAATGAAATCAATTAAAAATGTTTAAAGCATTTTAATTATTCCTCCCTAAACTAACTAAAACTTCATTTTATTAGATGCCACGTATGAGTAATAATAATTTCCTTAATCCTAAAATTTAAACTAATTAATACTTCAACAAGTTTCTTACAATTCTCTATCGCACATAACCCCTTAATTTGAAATCTTATCTTCTTATTCGGTTAGCTATAAATCAATTTCCTTAATCTCTAAGCAAATTAGCTTTATTCATTACATTTCCTGTTTCCCCTATTAATTAATTATCTTAACTGGCGGTGCTTTCATATCTTGGCATTTAGCGCTTTAAATCTTTTATTGAATATGGCAAAATAATTATGATTAAAATCAACCACGAAAATTTCTAATTTGAAACACAATAAATTAAACAGAATAAATTAATAAATACCAAGAATTGAGCAACTAAATCAAAGAAAAATTTACCAACTTTCTTAAGGTGAAACGAGGATACAGAAGAGTTTGTAGACAAAGTTATCAACAAACGAGTTTAGCCCTAGACTATAGACTAGACTATAGAATAGACTATAGACTAGACTATAGACTAGACTATAGAATACACTATAGACTAGACTATAGACTAGATTATAGACTAGACTACAGACTACACTATAGACTAGACAATAGACTAGACTAGACTAGACTATAGGCTAAACTGTAGACTAGACTATAGAGTAGACTATAGACTAGACTAGACTATAGACTAGACTATAGACTAGACTATAGACTAGACTATAGACTAGACTATAGACTAGATTATAGACTAGACTATAGACTAGACTATAGACTAGACTATAGACTAGACTATAGACTAGACTATAGACTAGACTATAGACTAGACTATAGACTAGACTATAGACTAGACTATAGACTAGACTATAGACTAGACTATAGACTAGACTATAGACTAGACTATAGACTAGACTATAGACTAGACTATAGACTAGACTAGACTAGACTATAGACTAGACTATAGACTAGACTATAGACTAGACTATAGACTAGACTTTAGACTATAGACTAGACTTTAGACTATAGACTAGACTATAGACTAGACTATAGACTACACTATAGACTAGACTATAGACTAGACTATAGACTAGACTATAGACTAGACTATAGACTAGACTATAGACTAGACTATAGACTAGAATATAGACTAGACTATAGACTAGACTATAGACTAGACTATAGACTAGACTATAGACTAGACTATAGACTAGACTATAGACTAGACTATAGACTAGACTATAGACTAGACTATAGACTAGACTATAGACTAGACTATAGACTAGACTATAGACTAGACTATAGACTAGACTATAGACTAGACTATAGACTAGACTATAGACTAGACTATAGACTAGACTATAGACTAGACTATAGACTAGACTATAGACTAGTCTATAGACTAGACTAATGACTAGACTATAGACTAGACTATAGACTAGATTATAGACTAGATTATAGACTAGATTATAGACTAGACTATAGACTAGACTATAGACTAGACTATAGACTAGACTATAGACTAGACTATAGACTAGAATATAGACTAGACTATAGACTAGACTATAGACTAGAATATAGACTAGACTATAGACTAGACTATAGACTACACTATTGACTAGACTATAGACTAGTCTATAGGCTATAGACTAGACTATAGACTAGACTATAGACTAGACTACAGACTAAACTATAGACTAGACTATAGACTAGACTATAGACTATACTATTGACTAGACTATAGACTAGACTACAGAATAGACTATAGACTAGACTATAGACTAGACTATAGACTATAGACTAGACTATAGACTATACTATAGACTAGACTATAGACTAGACTATAGACTAGACTATAGACTAGACTATAGACTAGACTATAGACTAGACTATAGACTAGACTATAGACTAGACTATAGACTAGACTATAGACTAGACTATAGACTAGACTATAGACTAGACTATAGACTAGACTATAGACTAGACTATAGACTAGACTATAGACTAGACTATAGACTAGACTATAGACTAGACTATAGACTTGACTATAGACTAGACTATAGACTTGACTATAGACTAGACTATAGACTAGACTATAGACTAGACTATAGACTAGACTTTAGACTAGACTATAGACTAGACTATAGACTAGACTATAGACTAGACTATAGACTAGACTATAGACTAGACTATAGACTAGACTATAGACTAGACTATAGACTAGACTATAGACTAGACTATAGACTAGACTATAGACTAGACTATAGACTATAGACTAGACTATAGACTAGACTATAGACTAGACTATAGACTAGACTATAGACTAGACTATAGACTAGACTATAGACTAGACTATAGACTAGACTATAGACTAGACTATAGACAAGACTCTAGACTAGTCTGTAGACTACACTATAGACTAGAATTTAGATTACACTCTAGACTAGACTAAAGACTACACTTTAGACTAGACTATATTGTAGAGTTTTTATTAAGTTCTTGATTATTTCCTGCACAAATAATTCTTTTAGCAACACCTGTTTCCTTCATTAAATGTTTAGTAAAGCATATTTATATGTAGGCGTTTTTATTACAACTTCCATTAATTAAGTATTACAAGCATATTTTTAAATCTGCTGCAAATGAAAGGAGGCGGGACAAAAACAATTATTAAAAACAATAAAATTAATTGATTGCTTATGAAATACATATGTAGTTATATTAAAGAGGACATTTAAAACATATGTTATAAATGAAAATAACTCTTAAATATGTAGCATATTTTTGAGAGAGAAAGAGGGAAATAAACTTTTTATTTACTATTTAAATATGTATTATTAATATTAACTAATTAAGTTTTCTTAACCAGCCCTGAACTTTTAATCGTCTTTTTT